GCTTGGTGACAGGCACTGGCAGGGGTCATAGCCAGGCTGTCAGCACAGAGTGCTTGTGGACACTTAGTCAATACTAATCAGTGGGCACTATAAGGACAAACAATCACGTCCCTAAACTTCAGTAGAGGAAAAGTCATCCTCTGGAAACTTTTAACTTGAATGGACATCCCCGAATAGATGTAAATGAGGGTCCTGTGATTGAAGAGGATATTGTTAGAAAGGGCCACAGCAATCATCTCCATTTAATTATTGCCTTTTTCAACTGGGAGAACTGAGCCCCAGAGGAGGGAAGGGTGTGTGCAGATCATACAGCAACTTGGTGGCCATCATGCCTGTGTACTTTCCCTGCTAGCCCATAAACCAGGACACAGCTTATCTCATAGTTCATTTAATAACCCAATTTGTGATGGTAATGCTGCCTTCCCAAAGAGTTAAGATTTTGCCTGTCTTTGTTCCCCGTCATGCAAGAAGTATCTACACTTCTACCAAGTTGTGTCCTCAAGACTCCATGGCTCTGACAAGAAGTCCTTATCACCACATAGAGATCCTGTAATCATCTCTTTACTTTCTAGGAAGACATCTCTGAGATCCTTATTTTCTTATCAGAGTTCTGAGATGCAGGCGAAGTGAGCGGAAACTGTTGCAGTGACACCTGAGAGACAAGAAACCCAGAAAGAACTGGATTTCAGTTGGCTGTTCAGTGCTGTGAATGATGTCACCCTGATGGCCACCTGCTGAGGGTGTGGTTCTAGGAACCCTGGACAGGCCTCCCCGATGACCCATCCCATGCCTGTGTGTCCTTAGTTATTCCCAGATATGAAAGCTCCTTCTGTCTTCTTGAGGTCTGACAGTGGACAGACTTCTCCACTGGTGAAGTGGCCTACTGCTTCCTTCAAAAGGGCACTGCAGATTGGAGCCTGTGCCCGCTCCTGGGAGGTTGAGACATGCAACAGAAGAGTGCTGTGCCTCACACCATTGATGTCAGCACATCTGCATCCCCTCCATCCCCCTCAGGGTACAGAGAAAAGCTCTGCTTTGCTGCCTCTGGGCTTTCTCTGGACTTAGTTCACACTCACACACAACCAGGAAATGTAGGAGAGTTAACAGTCCCGAATTAACAGGTTAACAATCCCTCATTAAATGGGGAACAGAAGAGCACTGGGCAGATATCCCAGCCTGTGGCATGTTCTACATGGTTCTCTAGAATGAACCTAGCAGCACTGGCTCTCAGTTTCCCAAGGAAGTTCCCAGCTCAACATGCAGGTAATTTTTAAAAATCATTCTTACTCCTCTCCTACCCCTTCCCCTCCTGAATGCCCCAGATCCACATCTGCTTTCCGGTTGGTTTTAGTATTTGTCTTTGACAAATATTTGACCTTTGTTTGGTGACACAATCTGGTATTTATCTTTTTCCTTCTGGCTTATTTCGCTTAGCATCAACCCTTCCAGCTCCATCCATGTTGCCACAAATGTCATGTGTTTCTTTTTTGATTGCTGAGTAGTATTCTATTGTGTATAATATTCCACCTCTCCTTGATTCACTCATTTGTTTTGAGGCATTTATGAAAGGCAGTGTGAAGTTTTCTCAAAAGATTAAGAATAGATCTGCCATATGGCTCAGCAATTGTATTTTCAATATCCAAATCTTTAACCTTGGCTAAATTCATTCCTAGAAATTTAATTCTTGTAGATACTATCATAAATGGAATTGCTTTCTATATTCCTTTTCCAGTTACTCTTTGCTGGCTTATAAAAATACAACTGATTTTGGAGTATTGATCTTATTCCCTGCAATTTTGGTAAATTTGTTTATAGGTTCTAGTAATTTTGTTATGATTTCTTTGGAATTTTCTGTAGATAGGCAATGCCATCTACACATAGGGATAATTTTGCTTCTTCCTTATTGATTTAAAAGCTTTTAAATGCTTTTTCTTGTTTAATTGCTCTGGATAGAACTTCCAGTAAAATGTTGAACTGCAGTGGTGAAAGCAGCCACCCTTGTCTTTTGCCTGATCTTAAAGAGAAAACTTTCAGTCTTTCACTTTTGAGTATGATGTTAACCATGGGCTTTAGCAGGGACCTTGTGGAGGAAGGACCAGCAAGATCCTGGAACAAGAGGGAGGTGATCCAGCAAGAGAGGGCCGCAGGAGGAAGTCCAAGGACAATGGGTAACAAAGAACTAGCAACTGAACGGACACTAGAAATGAACACAGTTGGGACAAGCTCACTAATGTACTAATTGATGGTAAGTCACCTGGGTGAGGTGCTTATTAACAAATCTCTATTTTGCTTGGTTGGTGCCCTGAAATCTCCCACATTGTATTAAAAAGAGCCATGCACACTCCTACAGCCGACGACAGCCCTGCTTATCTTTTCCATTCTCCAGGTTGTAGCCACAAGTGTCTACAAAGAGCAGGGCACCTGGTCTAAGGGAGACCTAGGAACCAGAATCCGACTGCTTCAGGGATGCTCCAGGCATGTCTCTCTGTCCCAGGCTGCTTCCCACCCCTCCCTGACATGGCTTTTAGATCAGTCTTGTCTCCAAGTGCCTCTTTCTTCAGATTGGCAGGGTATCTCTCTCCAAGTAAACACATTCTTTAGATTCCTCAAAAAATACAAGTTGGGGGGCCTCCCCTGGTGGCGCAGGCAGTTGAGCGCAGCGCTGTGAAACTGTCCGCAGCCTCTGCAGCACGGGTTCGATCCCAGCCGGCCAGGGGGAATCCCACATGGCATGGCAGACCTCTCCTGTCTCGCCCACTGCTCTCCTGAGCAGTGTATTTCACTCAGTCTGCCTGTTCTGTTCCCCGCTCTGCCTCTGGTGAGTCCTCTCACCCTCCCGCACATCTGGCCTCTACCCTGGTTCTTGTGTGTATGAATAAATAAATCTTTTTTTAATTTTATTTTTATATTCCCCATACAATTGCAACCCCCTTATTTTGACTCCAATCCCTCCTTTCCCCGCCCCCCACCCCCCATAGAGTGTCTGGTTCATAGTTGTTTGTTGATTTTGATATTTTCTTTCTTATAGTTATTCTTTTTCCTGGTCCTTTATTTAAGTTTTCTAGATTCCTGCTATGAGTGAGACCATCCGGTATTTTTCTTTTTCTTTCTGGCTTATTTCACTGAGCATGATCCCTTCCAGCTCCATTCACATTGCTGCAAATTGCATGTGTTTATCTATTTTGAATGCTGAGTAATATTCCATGGTGTATGTGTGCCACATCTTCTTGATCCAGTCATCTATTTTTGGGCATTTGGGTTGTTTCCATAGCTTAGCTATTGTAAACAGTGCTGCTATAAACATAGGGGTGCAGGTGCACTTTGGAATTGATGTTTCTGTGTCCTTTGGGTAAATACCTAGGAGAGGAATTGCTGGATCATATGGAAGCTCTATGTTTAGTAGGTCAAGAAATCTCCACACAGCTCTCCATAGTGGTTGGACCAGTTTGCACTCCCACCAACAGTGCAGAAGAGTTCCTTTTTCTCCACACCCTCGCCAACATTTGTTGTTGCTAGATTTTTTTAATATGTGCCATTCTCACTGTTGTGAGATGGTATCTCATGGTAGTTTTGATTTGCATTTCCCTGATGACAAGTGATGTTGAACATTTTTTCATATGCCTGTTGGCCATTTGCATTTCCTCTTCAGAGAAGTTTCTTTTTAGCTCTTCTGCCCATTTTTTGACTGGATTATTTTCTTTGCTGTTGTTGAGTCTCATCAGCTCTTTGTATATTTTTGTGATCAGTTCTTTATCATTAGTGTTGTGTGCAAAAATGTTCTCCCAGTCGGTGGGGTTTCTCTTTGTTTTTGTTATTGTCTCTTTTGCTGTGCAGAAGCTCTTTAATTCGATGTGGTCCCAGCTGTTTATCTTTGCCTTCACTGTCACTGCTTTGGGTGATGTGTCTGTAAAGATGTCTTTGATGTGCATATCATGTAGCATTTCGCTTATATTTCCTTCTATGTATTTTATGGTTTCAGGTCTTATGTCTAGTTTTTTAATCCATTTCGAGTGGGTTTTGTGCATGGTATGAGGTAGTAGTCAAGCTTCATTCTTTTGCATGTAGCGACCCAGTTTTCCCAGCACCATTTATTGAACAAACTTTCTTTGCTCCAATGTATATTCTTTGCTCCTTTGTCAAAGATTAGTTGCCCATGAAACTGTGGGTTTATTTCTGGATTTTCTATTTGATTCCATTGGTCTGTGTGTCTGTTCTTGTTCCAATACCATGCAGTTTTGATGATTATGGCTTTGTAGTACAGTTTGAAGTCTGGGAGTGTGATGCCTCCATTCCCTTCTTTTTTTTTTTTTTCAGGAGAGCTTTGGTTATTCAGGGTTTTGGTGATTCCATATGAATTTCATCAATAATTGTTCTATTTCTTTGAAGAATGTCATTGAAATTTTTATTGGAATAGCATTGAATCTGTATATTGCTTTTGGTAGGATAGCCATTTTAATAATGTTTATTCTTCCAATCCATGAGCAGGGGATGTCTTTCCATTTCTTTGTGTCTTCTTCTATGTCATTTAACAGTGTTTTATAGTTTTCTTTGTATAGGTCCTTTACCTCTTTTGTTAGATTTATTCCCAAGAATTTGATTTTTTTTTGTTTCAATAATAAAAGGGATGGTTTTTTTGATTTCTTCTTCTTCAAATTGAATAAATAAATCTTTAAAAACAAAATACAAGCTAGTGAGAGGGCAGCTTTTCAGATGCCCTTAAGCCATTCCTTTGAACCTCTCCAAGGACTACATTGGGCTGAGTCTCCCCAGAAAGATGTCTCTACTGTGGAATTGAGCTACTTACTCCCAGGCAGGGGAGGGCTGGTTCTCTGAGCCACTGCCCACCCTCCCCCATGCAGAAACCCAGGTGATTGGTGGAACGGGTTCTTGCCCTTCCCCAAGACCTCAGACTCTTCAGGTTAAATAAAAATGTACCCTTTGGTGCAGTCTCCACCCTGCCCTGTGTCCAAGAGGCTCACCTCTATGCACTGGATCGCTGGGTTTCCTTTTCCCCAACTTCAGCCCATGGGAAACACTGGCAGGGAGTTGGAGAGAGAAGTCAGTGGATGACCTGGGACCAGCCCCTTCTGTACAATGGTGTCAGGTGCCATGCCTGGTAATTCTGCCCATGACTGCAGCTCAGGATACTATGACAGATGCCTTTCCTTATGCCAGCCGGTCATATGAATGCAGGACCAGACCTGGGCAGAGAAGCCAAACACTCCAGCCTCTCTGTTCCTCCCAACTTTGGGGACAAAAATGATCTCCCTCAGGTGATGCACAAATGCCCCCATCCTCTTATTCATAGGACCCAGGGAGTAGATAATGGGATCTGTCATTCGCTTGATAGAAATCATTAAGCCCAAGTGCTAAGTGCAGCAGGGTTCTAAATTGGTCTCAGCTCCACACAGCACAATGGGCATCCTTGCTTAAAAGGGAGATGTCTTCATTAACTGTGTTTAGTAAAGGGGCCTCGGGCCTCCCCTGGTGGCGCAGCAGTTGAGCGCTGGGCTGCGAAGCTGCCCGCAGCCTCTGCAGTGCTGGTTCAATCCCTGGCCGCTGGCAAGGGTCCCACATGGCGCGACACGCGACAGACCTCTCCTGCTGTCTTCTGCTCCCCTCAGCAGTGTATTTCGTCAGTCTGCCTGTTCTGTTCCCTGCTCTGGCTCTGGTGAATTCTCTTACCCTCCTGCACTTCTGACTGTACCCAGTGCTTGTATAAATAATAAATAAATTTTAAAAAAGGGGGGGCCTCCCCGGTGGCACAACAGGTTGAGTGCAGCGCTGTGAGGCTGTCCACAGCCTCTCCAGCGTGGGTTCAATTCCTGGCCAGCCAGGGAGATACCCACATGGTGTGGCAGACCTCTCCTGCCTTGCCTGCTGCTCCCCTCAGCAGTGTTTTCAGTCATCTGCCTGTTCTGCTCCCTACTCTGTCTCTGGTGGATTCTCTTGCCCTCCCACACCTCTGGCCTGTACCCCAGTTCTTGTATAAATAAATATTTTTTTTAAAAAAATGTGTTTAGTAAGGGATTGGATGCTCAGGGTGGTGAATAAAAATGTATCCACTAAGTTCTGTATAAGAAATGGAAAATAAATATAGATATTGTAAATGGAAAGGGATCCAAGTCATGGAATTAGGTGACTGAAAACTTGGACAGGGCTAGAACTGTGTGGGATTCAAACTGGTCCAGGAATGCCTAACAGCATACCATAGGGATGTTCCCTGAACCACTGTTGGGGCTGGAGAGTTGGAGATCACGCCCATAGCCATAATGCTCAGTCCAGATTCAGAAAACCAGTCCTGCAGCTGTGTTCCTGTGCCTAGAAGTCTTGAACTACTCTTGATGCTGGGGTTTGGGTCTGGACTGTAGTTTTCACCACAGCTGCTTCTCAGCACCCTGGAACCTGGAGGATGGGCACTGGGAAGTTGCTGCATGGGTTGGGGGGTGTGGAGGCCACAAATCCACTGTTTCCCTTTCCAGTAGAAAAATATCCAAAAGACTGACCTTTGTTTCCCAAGTCGTGCAAGATCATTCACTTGGAGAACTTAATGCAGAGTAGTAGCTACAAGGAACAAGAAGTATGGGTTTTAGCTTCCTAGACTGCAGTGTAGGAAGTCACCCCTAGAAATAGGGCAGAATGGAAGGTGAACAAGTGGATCCACTGTGCTCACCACTGCAGGTCTCCTGCATTTGAAGGCAGCTGCAGGCAAGTGCAAAATCTCAGTTTGAGTTGTTAATTCTTTCCCATTTCTCTCATTTTCCTCTCAGAAGGATATGAGGAGAACCAATATGGCTGGATCCACAAGGCCTCCTGCCCATGTCAAAACCCATTGGACTATAAGTTAGATACATATTTTATAATTATGTGTGTGTGTGTGTGTGTGTGTTTGACATAGAGAAAATACACAAGATTAGGTATTTTTCTCAGAGTAATGCTGATGCCAACTGTTCAAGTAATTTCATGTCCGCTAGATTCCAGAAGCCCTGTATAAGCACAGGCCTGACTTTCAACCCCAGCTCCCCTGCTATGTAATCCTAGACTTGTTGTTTATCTTCTCTGAGTTCAGTCTTTGTATCAATCAAATGGGATGAATAATACAGATACCCTAGGGTTGCAGCAAACAGTAAATGAGATAAATCCTGGCAAATTCCCAATAGGTCCCACACATGGAGACACACAGCTGACAGCAGCCCCCCTATTGTCCTGTTTCATGCATTTTGCAGTGATAGCCAACTCCCAAGCCAGGAAACTGTCCCTCGGATAAATATCAATGATATCATTGTGCTTGAGAAGGAGAAGTGATGAGATGCTTGCCTTGTGTGGCAGGGAACCCTCTACAGTCCCTCCCCCACCATTCTTTGCAGCTCACACTTCCAGGGATTGCATCTTCCAAACACAAGAGACCACACAGGCAGCATAGTTGGAAGGAAGGGCGGTGAGAGGTTTGCATACAATTCATCAAGATCAGTGTGTTCCAAACTGTGGGTCAAGACCCATACGTAAGGAACAAAATCAATTTAGTGGGTTGTGACCAGCATTTTTACAAAGGAAAGAGGATGAGAGGGAAGAAACCAGACAAGAGAAGATAAGAAGAGAATGTGGAAGAGCATCTTAATAAGGGCCCTCTTATGAGAAACTGTTTTAGTTCATTGAACTAAAACTGTTTTAGTGGCGTGTGCATGGGTCACTGTGTAGAATGCACATAGCTTATTTGCATGTTTGCAAAGTAGTCATCAAAATAACCAGCACCCCCTCTATTTTGGAGTGGGGAAACGTGATAACCAATCTGCTATCAGACTTATAACCACAGGGATTGAGAATAAATTACTTAGATTGAGAGTAACTTATTTGCCCTGGGAGATGAATTTATACCTGGATGTTTCTTTCTTTCTTTCTTTTTCCTTTTTTTTTTTTTTTTTTTTTTTTAGAACTAGGGTAAGGGCCAAAGGTGTGGAGGGTGAGAGGATTGACCAGAGACAGAGCGGGGAACAGAACAGGCAGACTGACTGAAATACACTGCTGAGGGGAGCAGTAGGCGAGTCAGGAGAGGTCTGCTGCGCCATGTGGGTAGTTCCCTGGCTGGGGATGGAACTCATGCTGCAGTGGATGCAGAGAGCTTCATAAGTTGCGTCTTAATCCCTTGCACCACCAGGGAGGCCTCTATACCTGGATGTTTCTCTGCAGCCCCACTGCTCACCTCCCAGCTCCCTGTAGGTCACTGTTCACTGGCCAGCTGGCCTGGCCTGCAGGTGACCCTTGTCATCTTGGATGTGAGGGTGTTTCTTCTTCAGAGATGGTGCTGGCTGCACATCTTTCCTCCTCCTGCCCTTTCTGAGCTCATGTCTGTGTCCTCATCTAGCTCTCCTCTGCTCCCATGCCTCCTGTCTGCCGCTCCTCTCCCACTGTCTCACCTGCTGCTTTCACTACTAAACGGCTTTGTGCTCTCAGTCAGTAAATGATGGCCGTTGCTTCACAGTCGGCACAGAGCCACTGCTGCCTGATGCTCTCAGCACCTGGAGTTGGGCCTTCTTGCTGGCTCTGTCTCTGTCTGGTCCTTGTCAACTCATGAGGCACATGAGGCAGAGGACAGGGGCCTCCACTGGACACCAGACGAGGCTCATTTGGCCAAGTCCCTTAACCTCTCTGAGCCTCAGTTTCCTTCTCTGCACAACGGGCATGATAGCGTGAGCCCGGCTCCTCAGCAATATGCTGTGAGCACCACACAAGACCATAAAGGGACTGTAGAGTGCCGAACCCCGAGACGAGTCCCTCGAAGGAGCTGTACCAATTTAAGGGGTTTTGTGTTCCTCGTGACTTTCCTGGTCTTCCTTCCTTCTTCTCCCCTTCTGGGCTCCCTTAGTCCTCCCTGTGTATCTTCCTCCCTCCTGCCTCCCGGTCCTCGTCCCTCCTCCCTCCTCCATTCTCTGCTCCTTCCTCCCTTCTCTGCTCCCTCCCTCTTCCATCCCCTCCTTCCTCCTCCCTCACTGCCCTCCTCCCTCTTCCCTCCCTCTATTCCCCTCTCCCACCTCCCTCTATTCCCTGCTCCTTCCTCCCTCTGCTGTCCTGCCTTCCCCTGGTGCTCTTAGATCAGTCTATCTGAAGGCTGGTGTTTCCTCCCTGTGGTGCCCTACACTTTAGAGAACCCCATTTTGGAAGGAAAGGACCAGCAAGGGACAACTTAATCCTGGAAGCCCACCATCATCTCATTTTGAAAACTATCTGGTTTCCTTTTTTTTTGAATCCACCCCCCTGAGTCTAAGGGATCCTCCGCTCCCAATTATAGTGGGTGATGGTGAGGCCAGCAGAGGCACTCTTTCCTTGCACTGGCCCTTTATATGTGGGTTACTCTGATTGGAATAAAAATGGCCTAACTCCAGACAAACAGGGTCTGCCCATCCTCTCTTCCAGTTTTGAACAATGGGCTACCACGTCCCAAGTCCCGACACAGGCAGAGTCCTGAGCAGGAGGGTGTGGACCTGAGTCCCAGGGAGAGTCTCCTAGGAATCAATCCAGTTAACAGAAGCTTAAAACTCAGAAAACACAGCAGAAGTGCGCTGTCCTGCGGAACCTCCTGAGATGATGCAAATGCTCTGTCCTTGCTAGCACCACAGCCACCAGCCATGTGTGGCCACTGAGCGCCAATGTGAGTGCTAAGGTGACCCAGAAACTGAATTTTAAATTTTACTAAATTTTAATTAAAGTAAATTTAAATAACATGTAGCAGCTGGCTCTCATATTGAACAGCATTGCCTGAGAATCTCCATCGAGTTCCTCCTCCCTGACTTCCCCCTGGGAATCTGGCCTCTAAGCTGAGGGACTGAGTTTGAGAAAGGTGAGCTCAAGATCTTCATGAGGCCCTAGGTCTTGGCCTCCTGTAGCCCACCATTCCCGGAACCTGCCTCCCCAGCATTCAACTATCCCTAATCTGGGAGGCAGCAGTTATCATGGCAGCAAAGAGGGCAGCCAGAGAAGGGAAAAGACAGGAGGGTAAATGCACATTAAAGAAACCAACACGAAAATTAAGTGATTAAGGGAACCAAGCTCCTGCTGAGACAATCTTGCCTAATGAAGCATCACAGGCATCAATCTTTGGACCTAGTCATGCTATACCGGGGGTGATGGTAGGGGGAGGGCAGCATTCTCCCAACCAGGCAACCAGCACTCTCTCTACTAGCCAAGGGTCACCTGCAGCTGTGGCCCTCCCCTCCCAAAACCCGCCTTCCAGGGTGAGTGGGGGAGATGCCAGATCATTTTTCTGTGAATCTTTTCAAAATCAACAGAGGGAACAAGACTGGACAGTTGTGTGTTCATGGCAACCAGCCTGCCAGCAAAGAACCCGCCTGGGGGCCAGAGTTACCCTATAATCCTGAGCCACCTCTGCAGTGGAGCCTCTCCCCTCAGAGGTATTTGCTAGGACTCAGCTCTCCCAGATTAAATTAACAAATAGGGCAAACATCTACCTCCAGTTTGCTGCAAATGGTTGGCACATAGCAGGTGTCCCATCGTGCACCCCATGTTCCTGACTTGATCGATCATTTAGTGGTATATTTGGTAATGATCAGAAACGGTCAGCACTGACCAAGCGCTGTGCAGGGCCCTAAGCACTGTGCAGCTCACACAATGGAGGGAGCCATTTCCTGAACTGAAGGGGATGGGATTTCCACCATTGGGAGTGGAAAGAATGTCATTTTTCCTGCTACCCACATCTCTCTTGTTGTTTTTTCTGCTACCCACATCTCTCTTGCCGGAAGAGTGCCTCAACACTATGATTTGTAGTCACCGTCTTGCTCCAAACTTGCTTATAACTTCAGGACTCAGTCCCTTCATCTGAAAAATGGGGGTAGAGTCCCCTCCAGTCCTGCCACTCAAACATCCCACAGCCCCCCTGCTTCCCAGAAGGCAGATCAGAGCACACTTGGGGGCTGTTCAACAAAGATTTCCATGCTTTCAAATATCTCCTCCCCTGTCTCTCATATGTTTTGATTAGTCGCCAGGAAATAAGGGAACCCTGCAGCTTCCTCTCCCTTCCTGTCCCTTCCCTGTTCACACCCTTTCTTCCCTGCTGTCCCCAACTTGTCTTTTTGATTCCTCAGCTCCAAGGGGGAATTTGCATTAATTTGAAAATAAGATCAGTTATTAGCCATAACCTGTCATGTATCATCCAATGCATCTGGACCTGGATTAGATTCAATATTGCAACAGAATAAGGACAGAGGGAAAAAAAAACTAAATAATTTAAACTCATTATTCTACTAATCCTCCCGCTTGGCTGGGCTCCCTGGAGGTGAGTTAGGAGGTAATTGAAAACACGGAGATTCGCCGAGAAGACATTTGAGATGAACATTGCCAAGCTGTGGAAATCACGAGACTTGATGGCTTTTTTCCTCTCATTTACCCACAAGGAAGGAAAAAATGATGGGGTAGGTTGGGTGGTGGGGAGGGGTGCAGAACTCCAAAAACACCAGGGCAGGAGGTAGGGGACACAGGCACACTGGACTCTGGGTCTATTCCCTTTTTAAAAAAAAAGGAGGGAAAAAATAAAAAAATAAAAATAATAGGCA